TGTCTCCTTTGACTTTGCATGAATTCTGCGTTTAAAACTGAAAAAAGGTTTATATATTTTAGTAAGAGAGTTTTGGTTTCAATAGATAAAAAAACAGTCCGCGAAAAGTTGCCTGAGGACGTGGTTAAAATTGGACGAAAGGGGCTTTATTTTTTCCTCCGCCAGATACGAGGAAGGCTCAAAAAACACGACAGACGTCTTGTTCAATTCGTAACAGACATGTGTTTTTTGTATACTCTTGTTTACACAAGCGATGTTTTTCGGCTGAATATTCTCCGTCAGGATAAACAGATATTCATAAATCAGTATTAATTAAACCTAAATCTAATATTTTGTGGAATGCTTGGTTCATATTCTTGTTTGTTCAATTGCGTCGAATTAATCTCAAACTATTATAATGTAATTTTGTCTTATTAAAACAGTGAAAAGAGGGTGAATTTTTTGAGGGTGAAAAAATAAAACTTTGCGAATGGAAAACTTTCGCATTAAAGTAGTTTAATAAAATTGCCGGAAATTTTGGTATTATCTTTTAAAATGAATTCAAGAATTAACGTGACAATGGTCTGATAGAAATATTTCCTCACTTAAGAAGTAACATAAGAAGTGGTTCAAATATTCTAAATATAAAATGGTTCGTATCGTAATATAACGTAAAACGAGTTGTCTATAAATAGAAATTTGCCGGCAATTGTCCACGAGAAATTTGTGACTAAAATAGGGAGATAAATTTTCTTGTACCGACCTTGAACTTGGGTCGTTGACAGTAATGAGTCGTGTATACTTGTAACGATTGACGCAATTCTAACATCGCAAATGAAGCTAGGAGTATACTTCATCGCCGACGAGTTATACGAGTATATAGAGCAATATGAATATAATTACGGTTGTTGTATTAGAAATGATTTCAATTTAGTGTGACAGATTGTAGATGAGCACAAGATGTTACGAGTTTTAACGTGCGTACTTCAGAATAAGCCCAACATTGTACATTGAATTGGTTTGGTACATTGAACATGGTGTTAAATGGTTACTGAACCCATAGACATCTTTTTTTTTTTTTTTTTTATTGCCCTTGTAGGCAGACGAACATACGGCCCACCTGATGGTGAGTGGTTACCGTTGCCCATGGACTTCAGCAATGCCAGGGGCAGAGCCAAGCCGCTGCCTACCTACGACTTAAATGGGCCACTCACCTTGAGATATAAGTTCTAAGGTCTTAAGTATAGTTACAGCGGCTGCCCCACCCTTCACACCGAAACGCATTACTGCTTCACGGCAGAAATAGGCAGGGTGGTGGTTCCTACCCGCACAGACTCACGAGAGGTCCTACCACCAGTAACGGTAATGGTTGCAGTAAATTTCCTGCTCCCATCCGAGCGTTTAATAATAATTGTAGGTTATTCAGGTAAAGGATGGCGTCGCAAATTAATTTATCACAAAAAAATATATGGAAATTAGACGACGACAGACTAGAATGATATGAAAATCGCCTTAGAACCAGTCGCTCAATCGAATTAAACATTTAGTAGGTAAACGATTATGCTTTTAGTAGGTAAAATAAAATAAAAAATCTTGTAGCATTTTCTTTGGTTGAAATAAAGAGTGCAGCATAATTGATGTAGCCGCACTACCTCAATTTCTTTCCACGGAATCCTATGGAAGATGTCTTAACAAAATATAAAAAAATTATACTAAAGTAAAGATTATTACTTGGTTTCCATATTAAGAAAGAATTGAAGCGGAAATAGGGTCATGTAATAATTAGATCGAAAGGACGTTGCTCCTTCGAGTTTGCGACTAATTTTCTGTAGTCATTAGTGCTCGAGGAAATGGTTATGATGCTACACAAACCGGAGTTCCTTTGTACACATACTAAGAGCGATGCTTGTACGATGAGAGGTTTTTTGTTTGAATCTCAATGGTTCTTTCATTTGGCCACCAAATTTACATTCTAGCCTCATGTTACCTGATGACGTGACTACTCTACTGTATTTTAAATAAAATACAAGATGGACTTTATTTTCATTTTAATATATTTCCACTATAATTTCCTCATCATCCGATCGTTGTAATTACTCTCTATATTAATTAACCTGACACTTATCTTTCACTGATTATTTTTATAATATATGATTATCATATCTTACCTCATCTTTATAATCTTAGACCTACCGTTGCCTCAGATGAACTATAAGTTTAATCCAATTTATACTTTTTTTGATGATTCCACCTAGCATCATAGCCAACATAAATATCTTATTATAGTTCGAAACTGTAATCAATTAATATTGTACTTGCAGGTTAGTACATTTTTTTTAAATAACGGGGAATAAACTACCCCCTGAGCAATAATCAGAGTTAAGCGGCATTAATCCGCTTACGACCTTTGTGACAAAAGATTAAGGAGTCAATTTCCTTGGTTCAAGAGTTATTCTACTCTTTTATTAGTTAAAAGTCCGATATTAGCCGTAACGTATGATAGCTTCGCCGCACAAATAAATATGACGGTAGTATGCAAACGTACATAAAATCCATTAAAACTCCATTTACACAACTTCAGACCTGCTTAACAATATCAAAACTTTTTTTTTTGAGGAATAACACGAAACAAGATTTTGTAAATTTAATACGGAGTGAATTTTCCGATTTCTGGAATTGATTAAGCGTAAATATTTGATGAATCGGTTAACCAAACGACCATTCGTTATCGTTATTCATTCACGGAACGTGGTTTAAGATCGTCTGTTTAAGGTACGAAGTATTTCAGGGCGTTTTAAATGTTTCTTTGAGGCTAATTTTTGCTGAATATTGTCTGTTCATTTTGTAACCCAATGTATGAAATTGATTTATGTGTATTATAACAGAAGCATCTAATTTATTACTTTACACTTTATAATTTATAATTGAACAACAATTAAATGATGCTTCAGCAATATACTTTACCTAATTTTACTCACAAAAACACCCAATATTTCTTAACGCTTTAAAATAGTTGAAAACAATGGCAATTCAAACGGTAAAGAATGATCCGTAAATATGTAAATAGACAGGAGGAAACTAAGCAAATTGAACCAAAAAAAATACCAATATAAAAAGCTAAAAATTGTAGTCGGCGGTCTATTTGCTTATACCTATTATGAAATTGATAAATTAAAAAGCACAAAACAAATTTAAAATAAAGTATACTTATAGGATTTAGGTAACTAAAAAAGAAAACAAAATCGTGTTTTCAGTATTCCAAGTTCAACAAATTAAATATTAAGATAAATCACAGAACAATGTCTCAGTGAAAAACAACTCATTTTCTGAATAATAAATGGATATCACTCGAAAACCGCCTGCAAGTTGAATAACAACGATTTCATTGTCATTAAGCACTTGTTTACATTTCGTTGAACGTATGATTGAATATCACATTCATTTTTTGAACTGTCAAAGAAATAATTTCATATCGAAATATCACTTTCAAGTTGGCTCATTCGATCTTCCCTAAGCAAATACAACAACAATATTTAAAAAATAATGCAATCGTACGTTTCTGAATTATGGAATGTTGTATTGTGGTACACTTCATACACATATGTATATAACAATGGGAAATTTAGAAATATTTTCCATCTATAATATTAACGAGCTATGATATTAATATATAAGTTTGGGAATTAAATTTTTTTCACTAAACGTCAAGATTTACAGCACAAATTATGAATTTTAAATAAAGAATCTTGTTATAATTTTGGGGTCAAATTCTGATTCATAGGTAAATACTAGTATAATTAACGGGCCAAGAAACTTAGCCCATTACAAATATTTTTTCAATGTAAAAAATATATATAAACTTGAGCGCTCGGATACCCCAGCCCACCGATTTCCGACAGGAATTATTCAGGCGTGTAGTACTGACTTCAAGGCCTAGCTAACTACATAATATATACACACATTAATCATTAAGAGAGTAGTGAGTTTATTTGCTTCTTTCAAAACAAAATAGTACTATCATTTGAGAACTTAGAATATCACAGATTATTCAAAACAAAAAATAAGACATTTACATGTGATAAACTTTTATTTTTTAATCAAAAGTCCACAGCCAAAGTCACCATGAGACAATCGAATGGTACCGAAAGAGAACTGATGAGATTGAAATTCAATTATTTTCGTAAGACAACAATACGTATCACTCATCTAATTACTGACTGAATAGGCAACAGATTGAAGATGTCTGAAAACTTTGGTGTCTTCGTAATATATTTTTTTTATAAATTTTAAAGTCCGAGACAGACTTTAGCTTCGCAATTTTGTTTAATTTAATCTTTTTCGATCTCATTATTTTGAGATGAAAATTAAATTGAGACGATTGTTCGAAACTTTATAGTAATGTTGTTACAAACGTATTTTCGTTCGAGCTTTTGTCTCCGAGACAATTCTCACAAAGTTTGTCCGTGATCTTCTAATTTCATTTAACGTTTTATTTTTTTGTCAATTGCAACAAAATTGTTCCGAATTGAAATCTTTGCAAATGGTCATTTCATGGTTTTTAATTTGTTGTATTAAAATAAGCTGTTTTAAAAAATAATAATTATGTAAACATAAGCAAAAACACATTCATTCCGTAAAGATTTACTAGCATTATTTTCTTAAATTTCTCTATTTGCATAACAGTTAACAAATTGATGAATAATTCATGGGAGCTTGAGGAATGTTATCCTCGTAATTTCTATTCGATTTTCCCTAAATTAAGCCTGAAAGTAAGAGATTACTTCTCGTTCGAATGGATATCAAAGAGAAACGTTATCTTTAGGAAGTTGCCTTAAAGAGCTGTGGCTCAATTTTCTCAAGGCGCAATACTTGCTTATGAACGTTGCAAGTGCCATTATCGTGCCACGCGTGTCTGTCTACAAAGTTGCACTCCATTTTTGCAATACCAAGCAAGCTTTACACAATTTAAAAATTCTAAACATGGTTGCTCCATTTGATTAGATTTTTTGTTTTTGTTTCAGATAACGACGTTGCAGAATTATCGAATATTTCAAGAAGAAACATGTAATCAGAAATTCGCCGTATTAAACATGAAACCCATAGTTCACGATGACAATGACGTTGCGCCGGTCTGACAGCTTACCTTCACGACTCAGCGTGGCACCTGTCACGGCTCATTCTGAACCTCCAGTGGAAAACTTTCCAGAATCTAAAACTGTACCGGATTTCAACGTTCCTCTCGATCGCGAAGAAATTATAGCTACTTGGAAATCCTTGCATTCAGACGTCAAGAACATAAAAAATGGATTCTCCAAGAAATGCGACCCCACGAACCGTGAAACGGACAAAGAATCCATTACGCTCAATTTCATTCCTACCCTCAAATACAACAATAAAGAAACGCGAAAGAAAATCACCTATAATAACCGAACAACCGAGATCAACTCACAGGAGGCAGACCGTTGCTTGTCGTTTCCTCTGGACAGAGGTCAGCCCAAAGGAATCGATCGTGGAGCTAATTCTATACGGAGACGCACTCTGCTGCAAAGACTTTTATCTTGGCGTACGCCCGAGTGTGATTGTCAAGAACGCTACAAACCGAAGTATCGTCCCGCATACAGACTTCGCCCCGAAGACTTATTGTGCACATGTGGTGCTAGTGTTAATCGCATTAATCCACCGGACAAGAACAATAAGTTTAGTGAACGAGGTCGATCCAAGAGTGTAGGATATGAGGCTTCACGTGAAGTAGCGCAGTTCCGACGGTTAGTGTTGTGTGTTATTTTTAGTGACGTGGCAATTCCTTTCTGTGAAATCGTCTCTCTGTGAAATCTTAATTTATTGGTGTGGTACAATAGGTGTGCGAGTGCTGGGGCGACGGTTGGAGCTGAAACGGCGGCAGCTTTAAGGGCCCGAGCGGCGCTCACCCTCGCGCGTCGCTACTACCCTGAGGGTGGTTGGGGCTGGACCATCACTATCGTCGGAACTATTGTTCAAGTTTTATCGCACGGCTTACAACTCGGAGGCGGTACGGGAGCCATTGCATGTACAGCGGCCGTTAAATACAGAGTCTCTCCGTTGTACACTCACGGTAAGTGTTTAATGTGTTCTCCAAGTATTATTACGTAATTAAAATTGAGATATTAACTTGTACTGTTCGAAAGATTATTATTAGTATGAGAACTCGTGTTGACGAGAAATTCAGTAGATATAAGTTACCATTTTTTTACGTTAGCGTTAGTTACAAATATCGAAAAGGTGAAAAAAATAATAATTATAATTACTGATATATAAAAATGAATTGCTGTTCGTTAGTCTCGATAAAACTCGAGAACGGCTGGACCGATTTGGCTAATTTTGGTCTTGAATTATTTGTAAAGGTCCAGAGATGGTTTAAAAGGTAGATAAATATGAAAATGCTCGGAATTAAATAAAAATAACAATTTTGTTTTTCCTTTATTGTGTCCCCCGTCGGACAGATTCCTTTTGTTTGTTTTAAGTTTATTTTATACATAAGTTTAGGTCTTTTATTTATCGATTGAGGCACTACGAAGTCTGCCGGGTCAGTTAGTTACTGATAATTAAATTTAACTATATTTGGAAAACGCCTTCATAAGTGTAACAATATATCAATTGAGTGTTATAATGGAACCACTTCTAGAGCTATACATAAAAAAGTTTTCAAAATCGGTCCACAAATAACAGAGAAATCTGTGAACGTACAAAAAACATACAAACATTTGAATAACGAAAAACAACAAACTTATCACATACCAGTTGAAATAATAATAGAAAAGAATTAGACAGATTTATATTTATATTTGTACGTCTTCAATTTCGGTAATTTGCATTCAAATGACGCAAACCGTTTAATTTCATGTCAACAATTCGAAGCGGTCGCGTCATACGAATTTCATTTCAGATAGAGACTGAAATTAAGTTATAAATGTAGTCCGATGTGTTTCGTCAGTCGGTGCCTAACTAGGTAATATCAGTCACAGCATAGTTCGACGTAATATCGATATGCTATGTATGTATATACAATGCACACTATTGTGTACCATTCAGCCTCGCCATGTTTCGTTACAATTCAATATCGAGGAAACTGAAGTGAGAGTCGTGGATACATCAGACCATGAAGTGCAGATTAATTTCCAGGCGCTTAGTAAGACGTTGACAAGTTTAAATGCTCCTATTTGGAGGCTTCACTCTGAGATAAATAGCAGGATTTGGCTTGCACCCTTTGGCACGCTCCGGAACGATGAAGCTTGGTCGTATAACGTTGAATATATTGAAGAGTGCACTTAAAATTTTGTTGCGGTAATTACATTACGTAAATAAAAAAAGATGTGTGGTGTCGTGGGACACCGGATAGGAACGAAGTTCCTTATTATAAAAATATTAATTTCAAGTTCTATTCGAGGTATAAAGAAAATAAAACTGGAGGTTTCGCAACAACCCACGGTCATTCGGTAACGTGCGAACTTATTGTGGTACACTTCATTCACGGTTGTTTGCTTAAGAGTTAGTGTATTGCGCAAACGAACGCTCTGAGATCATGGTCAATAAATGATAAAAAAATATGTTATTTTTTGTAAGTTATTACAAAGTTAAGTCGTACACTGTGTGCATTACTAATTTGTACGTTATTACAAAGTTAAGTCGTACACTGTATGCATTACTAATAAAAAATTACGTTACGGACGTTTTTTCCCGGTTAGAACTTCGTTCCAAAAGTTACATGTTTAATTTTCTAAAAATATTGTTTCTTTTTTTATTTCAGGCTTACTATATACTTGTCTTGCTACTGACACGATTTCAATACATTTTAGAATTTACCTTTTTTCCATGCCAATTATTATAAATAGCTTACAACACGTGTGCTTAGCAGTGGATCAATCGATCTTTTTTATTTTATAACATACTAGCTTCTACACTGTGGCTACTACGGGTAGTGAATAAATAATAAACAGTAGTAAAAATAAATACAGTAGAAAAATAGATAGCAGTTATATCGAATGCATTGACCTCTTGTTTGGTTCCCCTCAATGCTGAAGATCGTGAGCTCCATGTAACATTGTTCTGTTCACGAAATTCTAGCATCATGCTCAACCCTCAACAGCGTGGATAGCTTCCGAGACTGGCTATCGGGAATCGCCTAGTCCGAATAACTGATAGCGCTCTGGCCTCTGATCTGTATCCTTCCATATTCTAGTTAACTACATTATATTTATTAGCATAATAGCAATTTAAATCCAATTTTGATCAATTGTGGTTTTGGGTAGGAAACCTCTTGTAATGTGCGTAGCCAAATTTCAATGTACAACAATAAATAAATAATATGTATAAATTATTGGAGACAAATCGCACACGGTCATCAAACTATGATTACCGGTACTATGGAAACCAGAGATTAGTGTATATGTTTTTTTACAAAACATTCGTGTGCCACAGTTGCTATTCAACTCTTTTGATAGTTTGAGCCATTTAAAGTTTTTGGTAGCAATGTACTCGAAGGACAAAGCCTTCGTGCTGTTGTGACCCAATTATTGAAGTCTTGTTCTTCGGAACTGGGTCGAGTGACCAAAACATCATCGGTTCGCACTAAAACTGGATAACTTTCTTCTCTGAATACGTGAATTGAATATCGAATAATGTAAATACGATTTTATAGAAACAGTTTTTATCAAATTAAAACGATTCTCTTATTTTTAAGTAATTGAACTCTAAACCAAAAAACTGCAATCAAAAGAGTCAAATTTAATGGGACGGTACATCGTGAATACTTTTTGGAGAGACGAGATAACTCTATTGAAAGGCTACCTGAAAAAAACATGACCAATAAATCTTAAAATGACACAAAATTATATAATTGGTGCGCTTATCGCTCAGAATGGTCTCTTTTAGGTAGTCGGGTATGCAGAGAAGCAATTACACATTAAAAGATGTTTTCAGTACATACCTTACAGGATCCAGAATGTCAATCCGTTTCTAAAAAAATTTTGATCTAGCTTACAAATACATAGCATTTCAAATATATATAACAATCTTCGCTCCGTAATATATGTATATAAATATATTATTCCATATAAAGTATATAATAATAAATATTTTTTTATTTTTTTTCGCAATATCCGGAACATTCGACAGTTGGATTAACATAATTTTATAAAATATTTTTTTGTTAATCCATTGTGGTTTACATTTTTCTTTTCTACACAAAATACTATCTCGAGATTTTGTAGTTTGGACTATGTGGAGTTCCATCTTAACAACCAAACGTAGATAAGATGTAAAGAGTACAGAAAACTAAGACAAATATTTAGGCGCCTACTCGAAAATCCTAGACTGAATATTTGCAAATTTTATCGTGAGTGCCTTCAAATATTGTCTAACTTGTCGCGGCTGATTGATGAGCAAACACGAAAATTTAGAAGTAAAAGATACTAAAATCTTATTTGTTTGATGGACGTTTCGTTTACTTAAAGGTTCAAATATCAAAAGACGCATTTATTTTTAAAAAGAAACATACTTCTGGATTTTGTTGAAGTTTTTATGTTGAAATAATCCACATTGAGATTTGATATTTTTAGATATTATTTAAGATAGATTATACATAGAATATTTTGTTAGAAAGAGTTTTAAAATATTCAGAATTAATATCAACTACCAGTTATCAAAGTGTGCACCGAGATATGAGAAAATATATGTAGCTTTCTTCAGTGAAATATTTCGTTTTAAAAACAAATTAATCATAGAAAATTGATCCTTACACTATGAAGGTAAATACGTTGAAACAGAAAAAATGACCCACGAATAAACAATTTTACGTCTCAATTTTAAGTGTTCGGTTCGCAATAGGTACTCAAAGTGAACATAATATTTTTATTGAGCTACGGATATAAGCACATTTATATTTTGATCGATATAATCAAATTGGTTTATTTTATTTGAACCCGCATTTAAAACTAGGACATTGTCTATTATAATGTGAAGCTGTGTCACTTACATTGTCGAAAAAATGAAACAGAACACACAAACACATACTAGTCTATGATATCTAACACAAACAATGAACTAACAAAATTATTTACTGAATGATTTATATTTTCCGATAAAATCTATACTCATAACAAGATATTGTGACAAAAATCGCGATCTCAAGGTGAACGCCGCATCTCTGTCTCTATCTAATATAGGAAACAAATGGCCTATCTACGTTTATCAAGCGAATAAATCAAAGTGCCAATATTGGTAGCGTTTTTATACTGGTAAAAACGTGACGTGTTTATTGTGGCGACACAAACAGTATTACTAAACGGTTCCGCCTCAAATCCGTATTGAGAATTTTTTTGCCATTCCGAATTTTGGATAAACCATCAACGCTACCGTTTCGTTTTACGTAATAAATAAAAAAATCCATATATCGAATTAAAATCAGAAATTTCGAATAAATTAATAATGACATAATTACTAAAGTATAACAGTTGATTATGTTCCCTTATTTCATTATCTGATAAATAACTTTACTTGTACATAAGATTGTGGGATATCGTTAAGGTCATTGAAAATTTGAATATTTTTGAAGAATTGTATGGGTACCACCATCTTCCCAATTTCTATGCTCAAAGATCACGTTTTACGGTTTTCAGGATAGAGCTGTCGTATTGGGTGGCAACATTCACATTGTAAATATCTGCGGTATTTACTTATCACTTCATATCCAGTTGGCCGTGAAATTACCTCTCTATCAAAAATAATACAAAAAAACTATGATTATTTAAATATAAGAAAATATATTTAAGAAGATTAGCTTATTTATAAAAGGGAAAATAAAAAAACATTTGCTTTACATATAAAGTATATTATTTAGTCATTTAGTTAGTGTAATATTTTATTTACACAATAATATTATATATTCGGGAGTGTTATTCATTTTTTTAATGAGGTTAAAGAAAACTACCTCCATAGAACATCGAAAAAAATGTTGTGTTTAAGCTTACACGGAACACTTAACTTTATCAGAGGTCATTTACCTCTCTCGGGAAACGATCCAAAAAACTTATGTAATATCAAATTACAAACTGTATA